CGGAGACCCAGAGGTGAAGAAGGAAACCACGGTGCTGACGGCGAACGTTGACCAGGGGGAGGGTATCCTCGATAAGCTATGGGTCAGGTACTCATCGTGGCATCGACTTCTGAAGAGCGTAGCGTGGATTAGAAGGTTTATAGAATGGTGGCTTGGGAAGCGAAAGAACAAACATCACCGAAAAAATCGGCTCCAGGTCAGCGAATTGGAAGAGGCGAAATTAGCTGTCTAAAGACTTATGTAAAGGAAAGGATTCCCTCGAGAACTAGGAATGTTAATACAGGGACAACCCGTGAGAGGTAGCGACATAAGGCGGCTGGAACCTCATCTAGACACAGACGGTCTGATCAGAGTAGGTGGCCGACTGAAGCACGCCGCTCTCCACCCAGACCAGGAGAATCCCATACTATTACCAAGGGACAACAGGATCACGGGGCTCATCGTGAGAGAGGTACACTCAACTAGAGCTGGACACTCAGGACGAGAACACACTCTTGCCGTAATACGTGAGACGTACTGGATACCTAAGTGCCAAAAATTACTCGACCGCACAATACGGACGTGTGTGATTTGTCGAAGAAGCAACTGGAGGCCTACCCATCAACGCCAAGCCGACCTGCCAGAAGATCGAGTGCGCCCAGGAGGCCGGCCGTTCACCTACACTGGAATTGATTGCTTCGGCCCTTTTTTGGTTAAACAAGAACGAGCCCGGGCGAAGAGATGGGGGTGCTTATTCACCTGCCTGACCACCAGAGCCATACACCTAGAAGTCCTCACCTCATTAGACACCGACTCGTTCCTCAATGCCCTAACAAGATTCACCTGCCGCAGGGGACCTCCCAAGCGTGTTCGGTCTGACAGGGGAACCAACATGATTGGAGCTAACCGAGAGTTACGAGAGGCGGTGAACGGCTGGAACAACAGTGACAAGGTCGGGAATGCCCTTCTACAGAAACAGATAGAATGGCAGTTCAACCCCCCGACAGCCTCTCACATGGGAGGAGTGTGGGAGCGACAAATCCGCACTGTAAGGAAGGTCCTCCAGGGAGAGGTGGGCACCCAGACACTAGACGATGAATGCCTCAGCACTGTGTTCTGCGCCGTAGAAGAGATCATCAACGGAAGGCCCATCACCCCAGTGTCTGACGACCCAAAGGATCTAGAAGCACTAACGCTGCTCCACATACTACGGATGAACCCGGAGACACTGTCCACCGGAGGCGATCGGTCCATGACAGAAGGGTACCGACGAAGATGGAAGCATGCCCAATTCATTGCGGACCAATTTTGGAAAAGGTGGGTAAAAGAATATCTCCCAACATTACGTCAGCGACAAAGGTTCTTCAAAACTCGCCGTAATCTCCACGCTGGGGATATCGTGATCATCTCTGGACAACCCCTTCCCAGGAGTCAGTGGATGCTAGGGAGAGTACTGGAAGCTCTACTGAGCAAAGATGGCCTGGTGCGAAGTGTTAAAGTGAAGACAAAGGACTCAGTGTTAATACGCCCAGTGACGAAACTCTGCCTGTTGGAAGGGGTGGGAGAGTGAATCTAATAATATGCCGTGATTTCGTGCGAAGCCCGACAGGGGGAGTGTTACCGCCACAGTAAGATAAGCTAGAAGAGAGAGAAAGAGAGGGATAACCATAATAAGATAAACTAGGCGAGAGAGAGAGGGGGTGAGATAAGAGATATAGTGTTGACAACGAATTTGCTGACCAATCTGCTGAGGTGTTTCAATACGAAAACATATGGCCCTCGCCTCCAGGCTGAGATTGCCCTCGAGGGTAGTCTACTGATTTCTACAGGACAGACAACACGTTGGTTCAGACCACTAGACCCTAAAACGTGAGTGATCGTGAAGTATTAGAATCTGCTAAGAAACTCTAAATAACTTTAATAAGTATATTTGTGTACTGCAATTTGATCATATTATACCAATTGTTTTCTGTATCAATAGTTATAACATGCGAGTTATATTTAAGATGTTAACAGGCTATGTACTCTATATTGATTGTATTTCATATGTGTCCTGAGATAACAGCATTTGTTATATGAGAAATGTTCTTTAACAGGTTTTGACCGAATTATATGGTATGCGTCAACGTTGAGGGTTTATTTCTCCAGCAACAAACCAATAACGCTCCTATGAGCGTTAACATATATACACTTCATTTTTAGTCCAAATAACACGCTGACTTTGAACATATAATCAACGACCTCACCAGCCAGGACTCGAACCCTCGACCTATATTATATATATTGTAGCCTCCAAAATGTATAGCTCCATCCACTTCCTTCTGTCCTCCCGTCTTTTGCACTGTATTGAGCAACCTCTGAATTATGTAGTATATATACTATTTTGATATATATTTTTTATTTCTCTTTAATACACTCATACCACCTTACCAAATTATGAGTTGACGTTTGATATTTTTTTCCATGTCCACACTGCTTTCATACATCTTTTTATTATTTTTTCCATCTTACAAGTACTGTACTGTACTGTATCTATAAGTACTACAGGTATATCAGGATAACTTATTAACTCTTCTTATGAATTAAGATATTTTGTTTTGATAATAAATTTAGATACAGTACAATATTTGAATTCCAGATGTCCATGATGGATGCCATCCATATGCCTTCAAACTTCTTACTTCAGTTAGTGTAAAATAGTTATACAGTACGGTGCAGTAAGTATTTTATTTATAATAGAGTGATGTTAATGTAAATAATAATAATGTACATTCTCGTTCAAGATTTTTCGAACACTGCTGGAGACAGCTGGCAACTCATGGCTGTTAGTTTACTATAGTTTATAGTATAATATAATACGAAACAACAAACCTTTAAATTAAGCAAAGAGGAACTAAATAACCAATCACCGATCACTTTTATATTTATTCATAATTTTTACTAAGTATTATAGTAAACAAACGGCCCTGAGTTGCCAGTTGTCTCCAGCAGTGTTTGAAGAATCTTGAACGAGACTGTACATGGCATTAAAATGTTGTTACTTTCATGTGATTGTTGAAGATTAAAATGGTCCCATGAATTCCCCTCATTTGGTACTGTACTGGTAGTTTAAATGTCAGTCAACTTGGTGATATTAAGTAACTCTGATACACAGATGTTCAGGAGAATTATGGGCTCATAATGACTCACTAAGTAATTAAAGTAATTTTGTTACTAGATCAACACAACATTTGGAAAACACAGTTATGGGGAAGAATGATGGTACCTGTAACTTGACATGACATTTAATTTTAGTGAATTATAAAAGCATTATTCCTATCTACGTATACCTGTATAAATCTCCACTAGTAGTAGAGTACGTACTGTAATTTTCTGTTATTATTCTTTCACTTTTTTCTTATTTCTGTATATTGAAGAACATATATAAAATATAAATGAAGTGTACATATTTATGCTTAATTCATTATTATAGATCTGTTAATAAAGTATTTTATACATTCCTTACCACATGGAATTTTTTTATGCTTGTTGAAGTTGCCAGTAGAGGCCAACTCATAACCCAGTGGTATTTTCACTATATTGTATATGTTTTGTCTGTTATTAAAGTTCTTGATGCAACTTTTTTTTATATAGTACAGTATATTAATATATCGATTGATATGTAATAAACATTTTATATTGATGGATTCAATATACCAACAGACCTTAGTCTTTAAATCAATAAGAGTATTTAGTACAATATTATGGATTTCTATCTCCTATCCATTCTTCAGATATATATCCTCATTCTTGCTCATACACCTCTTTTGCCGCGTTGTCTTTCAGAACTCGAGTAATTTTATGAGTATGTTCATGAGTACTTTCCGGTTGATGCTCCGAAACTCGCACCTTTTCGCAGCATTGTTTGAATGCCCAGCGTGGGTTATCACGTTCCAGTGTGAATATTTGCTTGCCACGCCACACACTCAGCCACAGGGAAGCTTCCTGAATGTAATTACCAACTTTTGTTTGTTTCATTTTCATTGTTTGTCCATTTTATCATGTTGTATCAAAGTAATATTGCTTAAAGTAGTGTAGTTGTATTGTAGTGTAGTATTACTGGAAAATAATGCTATGATTATGTTATAAATGTATTTATTTGTGGAATTATTACTTGCTCTACCAAACACAAAGACAGCCATACAGCCTATGTGTGTGTTGCCGAGCACATTTTATGAAAAATAATGCAAATAAGTATTATAATCAGTAAATATGTGCATTACTGGCTATCCCGGATACAAAGGCAAGCAAAAAAGTCTGCTCAGTGGGTAGTGACCACAAGTGCTTGCCGTCAAAACATTTGTCCCTTTATCTCCCTCGCCGCTGCGGCCCCAGGAAAGTTTCTAGTGGGTCAATATATAGTTTTTCTTACTTTTTTTTTATTGTTTTATCATTAAAAAGGTTAAAATTATTTCTGGAAAAGTTGATTTTTCTTCATTTACCTCGCATGGGGGATACGGCCAGCGGCGTCCGGGGCATAGAGGTTAATATTTAATCATCTTGAGCATTATCAGTCATGATCACAATAGGTAAAGCCTCATGATGCACTGATTTACAATGAAAGAATATTGTAAAGCGAGATACAATGAAATAAGGCAAATATAGGATGAATTAACGAAATACAATGACATGATGTTGGTAACACCAAAGAAATTGTTCTTAAAAAGAGGGGGCAATACCAAAGAAGGTAAAAAATAAAAATGGCACAAATACACTGAAAAGTTGACCACATCTTTGGTGACATGGCCGAGGCATAAAGTGGCGAGTGTAGCGTGCTTCAACATAATACGGTAAATGCTTGGGGAGGGGGGGGGGTGTTACTGTGTTCAGAAAACTGGAAAATTCATGTATCAAGTTGTTCTTTGTTCCAACAGTTCTGGATTTCGGTCTTACTGTATTCATGAGACTTCTTAAAATTCCAAGGTTTACAAATGATTTCCAGGAACTGTAAGAACCTTGGAGGATACAAGAAAATTCTTTAGTCAGTATTGTGTGGCATTTATTTCTCAAACAGGATAAACAGCTCCACCACTTCTTGCATCTAGGTAAGATAAATGTCAGGTTAAAGTTCATCTGCATTGAAAGTTATACCTTCTATAAGACACAAATGGTTACCATCACAATGGTAACCTTCCACAATTGATGAAATGTACAGAAGCAAATGTGCAACATAATAGCATTCAACAGTTGCTTGCATAACCTTAACAATCCACCATTCTGAAGGTATTTTTACAGCATTATCAAAAGAAGAAGAGAAGTCATATGAGCTTGATACAAGCAAATGTAAGATACAAACCAAGGATAGGATAGTGGAAAATCTGCACTGAGAGCAAGCATTATGAGCCAATTAGAGTACTGCAGCAATGATGATAACTTATCTATGTGATCCAACTGTTTTCTCCGTTTGCTCTTCATTCATAGTAAAGAAATTACAGATAAATTGACCTCCACGGAAAATAAGGAAACTTTTAGTGTTTAATCCTCAAGAGATATGATGAAAGACTTCACTATATACCAGGAGTTCCCAACATGTTGTAAACTAAAAGAATTTAATGCAGTAGCAACTGTACAAACAAGGTGGCTGTTACTTCCATATAAAGAATAAGAAAAACTTGTGTCCAGGTGTTTTATAAAATAAAGCTTGAATACAATATGTTTATTTTACGTACTCGTATTTTGTGTATAGAAATAACATTCTGTGTCCATACCTTTAAGACTGTGATTCCCAAACTGTGAGGCACAAGGTTGGTACAAGGGGGGAGGGGTTGAGACTGAAAAACATATATATATTGATAACCTTTTTTTCTTTATAAAATGTGCATCATTAATATTTTCTTAGATTTCAATCTTTCTCACATGCATGAGGTATATGGATAAAATAATTACGAGTTAGTTGATCTTGAAAGTAATGTAAATATGAGTACAAGGTGTAAAATTTATTAAAAGTTGATCAAATATATTTTAAAAATGGGGGGAGGGGGGGGGGACATAAGGGTTTGGTAAAAAGCAAGAGGGGGCATTGTGTGAAAGTTTGGGAACCACTGCTTTAGGAGATTCTGAACAAGCATGTCGTCCTCACTGGGAGACATTTCAAGCTCCACACTGACAGACAAAAGTCAGTGGTAAGCATTTTAACAAAGTACTGTATTTTCAAAGTCTGGTCAAAAATTTTTTTCTTCATTCATGACTTAACATGTTAGACCTATTTTCAATGCACATAAATGTTGAAGGCAATGTATATATGTATTAAAAATCATTACTATCTCAAATGTTTCAGTCTCATGCTGACTGCAGGAGTTTCACCTTCAACTCCATCCTTCAAGTACTATGATCTCAACGTTGAGGAGGCTTTTAACATAAGCTTTGTAAATATAGATGTATCCATATACTTCTGGCTGTGATGTCTTCAATAACTGTCTGTTAGGTATTGTAGAACACATAACGGTATAAATTAAGTAAACGGGAGTTCTTTTAACCTTGAGATAATTGTAATAATTATAATGGAGTTCCTTCCCATCCATCTCCATGTTTTCCTGAATAAAATATATATATATATATATATATATATATATATATATATATATATATATATATATATATATATATATATATATATATATATATATATATATATATATATATATAAAACTATGTAATATTAGCCGTTTTCTAATAATGACAATTAACACTATATCACGGTTCCATGTCCCATACATTCAAGGTTCTATTACTGTACTGTATGAAAATGCTATATTAACATCAGTGGGGCCAAGTTTTGTACAGGGCATCTGTAAATCACTGATTAACTTTATGAGGTACCTATCAGTTGTGCTAACTGAATGTTGATGAAATGATAAGAACTGTGATGCTGAAACATGGTAATACATGTATTGTACAGTCAGTAAAATAAGTATCAGCCACCCCAGGGGCGGTGGAATAGAAAATAAGCGATAACTACTGATGCCGGTAACCAAGGGTACTGTACATTTACAGTTTTCACATGGTTTCATATTGTTACGCACAGCAGTGTGGTCAATATCTTTTTATTGACTATGTTTTGCTGTAAAATGCAAGATTTGTGTGTGACTTTTGTGACTGTGTAATAGAATTTGTGATAGACAGCCAAAGATGATATACTGGAGTAGCAGAGATTTTACAGGCACATTAACTCATAGAATAATGCCAGGTATAACTTGAGTTTAAGTTTATGTCTTCTATTATAATGAACTGTGTATGTGCAAAGATTTATTATGATGAATGAAGTATACAGATGGATAGATAGATACAGTTAAAACATTGTTCAATGATATATTAGAATTTAGATCCATTCCAGATCATATCACAAGAACAATTTAATCTATACAATATTAAAATTTTTATATGCCGTAAGATGATGACTGCATTGCCAAGTATGGTGGGCAATTCAGCCAAAGGGTCATGGCTCAATCTGTGCCCTCAAGATAATAAACCACCTCTAAGAAACAGTCATCTCTTCTAGTTGTTCATCTAACTCATCAAGGTCTTCATCGTCTCCATCAAACAATTCTTCATCAATATCTACAGCTGCTGCATCAGCCCCTCCAACGGCACCATCTGGTACACCCCCAACAGCTCCTGCATCTATTGCTGCTGCCGCTGCCGCTGTTTTAGCTGAGGGACAAGATACAAAACTACCATTGTTTACAGTGGAAGGGACATGGGAAGTTAGGTGTGGGGGTGAGAAATTTTTCACATATCTGATACAATGAGAAGGAATCTGAAGGGAGATATGATCTTCACAGAGTAATGCTTCATAAATTCATTAATGGATTAACTGGGATATGATAGCAATGCCCTCAGCAGACAGAGTATTAGTAAACCTGCCTCATAAAATCATGTTTAAGTAAGGAATGTGAAAACAGGCCATTTCAAAAATAATAGCATATTTTTGCCTAGTTTTTGAAAATTTCTTGCCCAGGTCAAGAATACAGGAATATCATGGGTATTGCAACGAATGCATTCCTAAGTCATTGCAATTAATAAAACTTCGAATAGCGAGGCAATTTTCCCCATAAGAACTAATGTAAATGGGGGGATGCATTCCCAGCTTGCAGCTTTCACCACATACTTTTCGATATATACTCCTCATTATTCAAAGCCATTTATTAAGGTCATGTGTATACTGCAGTACCAGTAAATGCGAGGCATAAATAAATATTATACTAATAAATAAAGGAAAAGAAAAAATACCGCATTTCCAGTTGGCAATATTTCTCTAAGCTTGGGAGACTGGAGCAACTGAGATCTCCACCACTAATCCCTCCTCCCACAATTCTGTATGAAGATTGTGTGTGCATGTAACAGAAATAAGATAATTGCGTATATCTACCCAAAAATACGAGTTGAAAAATAACAATAACGAACTCACAGCAAGCACGTGGGCCATTTCATGACCAACACTAGCCACTACTAACACTCACCACCAACACACTTCCGTGACCATGAATATGATGCCACGCAGTGAAGGAGTTGCTACAACATGAAGTGAGGTCCCCTTTAACACCATTTGTGAGGGAATGTACAGCACTACATCAGGTCCCTCATAACACCATCTGTGAGGGAATTACTACACCAAGTGAGGTCTCTCGTAACACCAACTGTGTGGGAATTACTACACCAAGTGAGGTCTCTCATAACACCATCTGTGAGGGAATTACTACACCAAGTGAGGTCTCTCATAACACCATCTGTGAGGGAATTACTACACCAATTGAGGTCTCTCATAACACCAACTGTGAGGGAATTACTACACCAAATGAGGTCTCTCATAACACCATCTGTGAGGGAATTACTACACCAAGTGAGGTCTCTCATAACACCAACTGTGAGGGAATTACTACACCAAGTGAGGTCTCTCATAATGCCATCTGTGAGGGAATTACTACACCATCTGTGAGGTATCTCATAACACCATCTGTGAGAGAATTAGTACACTATGTACAGTTAACCCTCACTTTACGCGGTCCCACATTCCGCGTTTCCACGTTTACGCGGTGCCCTGCCGGAACCCAGGCTGCTCACATTCCGCGGTGCGTGTACCCCTTTACGCGGAGAGCGGCTGGCGAGCCGCGCCATTTTTGGATCCAAACCTCCCGCCATCCGCCATGTTGTGTAAGCGGCGCGAACATGGTGCGCACAAGGTCGCCCAGTCATCAAAACATTACCAAGTTCTTCACCCGCCACCCACCACAGCCGGCCCAAGTCAGTGATAGTGATAATTATAGTGAGGGTATGGACTTATATGGACTTTGAGGGGTTTGACAAAGAGGCCCTGCAAGCCTCTCTGGTGGATAGTGATACAATTGATACAAGTGAGGGCCAATAATCTGCCCTCTGCCTCGGAACCAACCCCCCCATCCCCGTGTGCCCAGCCATCTGTTCTACTAATGTAAGTGTTAAAAACCTAATATTATTGATATTTCTCTTAATTATTAATTGTGTGTGCATACCATCATAAAATTAAGAAGTTATTTTTACTACAACATAGGCATTGTGTCTGAAAAAGTGGAGTTTGGGGGTCGGCTCGGTCTCCATTTCAATTAATCCCATATGTTATGTTGTTCACTTTACGCGTTTCTCACTTTCCGCGGTACCCTGTGGGTTGAATTAACCGCGTAAAGTGAGGGTTGACTGTGTATATATATATATATATATATATATATATATATATATATATATATATATATATAATATATTATATATATATATATATATATATATATATATATATATAATATATATATATATAATATATATATATATATATATATATATATATAATATATATATATATATGCTATACTAACTATATATATATATATATATATATATATATATATATATATATAATATATATATATATATAATATATATATATATATATATATATATATATATATATATATATATATATATATATATATATATATATATATATATATATATATATATAATATATATATATGTATATATACAGTATTATCCCGCTTTACGAGGTTTCACTTTACGCAATTTCTCATATACGCGGTGCCTCGCCAGAACCGAACTTTCACTTTCCGTGGTTCATCTATCCATATACGCGTGAAGTATAATTTTTTTTTTATTTAGCTCATAAAATTCATACAAATTACCCGGCCAGAATATAATTTACATTGCTGGAATTCTTACAATTTGATGATCATTTTGAATATAAACATCATAGATTTTGCATTAGACATACAAATTTTAGATGTAATGTTTACTCTGAGTAAATATGTTGTCTTTTGTGCAAAATATATGACATTTATATTCAAAATATTCCTGGTCTTACAAAGAATCCAGCAATGTCAATTATATTATCCTAACTTTAGTCTGAGGTATTATTTATTACTAAAAAGGTAAATATTCTGGTTTTCCCACACATTTATCTGGTAGGGAGGGTTGGTGGGGGGTGGGGGGGAGGGAGGGACCGACCATCTGGCACGGTGTGAAGAATATTTTTTTTTTTATTAACTGAAGATATTTGTTTTAGCTCATAAAATTCATACAAATTACCCGGCCAGAATATAATTTACATTGCTGGAATTCTTACAATTCGATGATCATTTTGAATATAAACATCATAGATTTTGCATTAGACATACAAATTTTAGATCTAATGTTTACTCTGAGTAAATGTGTTATCTTTTGTGCAAAATATATGACATTTATATTCAAAATGTTCCTGGTCTTACAAGGAATCCAGCAATGTCAATTATATTATCCTAACTTTAGTCTGAGGTATTATTTGTTACTAAAAGTTAAAATTAGTTTTTTCACCCAACATTTCTCTGGTAGGGAGGGAAGGTGGGGGGGAGGGTTGGGACCGACCCACCATCTGGCGCGGTTGGAAGAGGGGGTGAGGCAAGTTGGGGTACTTTGATTGACAGATAGTGTCATGAAGAATATTTTTTTTTTTATTAACTGAAGATATTTGTTTTAGCTCATAAAATTCATACAAATTACTGGACCAGAATATAATTTACATTGCTGGAATTCTTACAATATGATGATCATTTTGAATATAAACATCATGGATTTTGCATTAGACATACAAATTTTAGATCTAATGTAATAATTTGGTTTACACAAAGCAAGTATTTTATCTTTGGTGCAAAATATATGAAGTTTACATTCAAAATATTCCCTGACCTGCAAGGAATCCAGAAATGTCAATTATATTATCCTAACTTTAGTCTGAGGTATTATTTATTACTAAACGTTATAATCTAGTGTTTCACCCAATCATTTCTCAGAGAGGTAGGGGCCAGTGAGCTGGGAAAAGGGGGGGGGATTTGAGTCTATTATTTGAATGGACATTAACCTGGCGACTGTATTTCTCTTAAATATTAATTGTGTGAGCATACCATCATAAAATTTAGATGTTATTTTTACTACATCATAGGTATTGTGTCGGAAAAAGTGGAGTTTGGGGGTCGGGCCAGTCTCTATTGGAATTAATCCCATATGTTCTGTTGTTCCATTTACGTGGATTTCACTTAACGCGGTACCCTATGGGTTCAATTGACCGCGTAAATCGGGGTACTACTGTGTTTGTATACATATATATATATATATGCTGATAACCACAAGGAAAGAAGAAACCACGAAGTTCCGAAGCGCTTTCGTGTAATTCACATCTTCAGGGGTGAGTACAGACTAGAGAGAGAAATACAAACCTAGGTGTATATATACAGAGGAGGGTGAGACCAGGTCCACAATGGTCAGGTATTAGGTAATGGCCCTACTAATCTTTAAATAGCACACAACGGTTGGTGCTATTTAAAGATTAGTGAAACCGACTGATTAAATCACCAGCTAGCACCTACAGTGATTTACTTACATATATATATATATATATATATATATATATATATATATATATATATATATATATATATATATATATATATATATATATATATATATATATATATATATATATATATATATATATATATATATATATATATATATATATATATATACCATGTGCCCGCCTAACGCGGTTTCACTTAACGCGTTTTATCATATACGCGGTGCCTCGCCAGAGCTGAACTTTCACTTAACACGGATTTTTTCCACATATGCGCGGTGAGTGTCCGGCTCCAGACGCTATTTTTAGATTTGCCCCACCCGCCACCCTGCCTGACTGCCTGTTTTAGCTCATAAAATTCATACAAATTACCCGGCCAGAATATAATTTACATTGCTGGAATTCTTATAATTTGGTGATCATTTTGAATATAAACATCATATATTTTGCATTAAACATACAATTTTTAGATAAAAATTTTTCTCTAGGTAACTATGTTATCTTTTGTGCAAAATATGACATTTATATTCAAAATATTCCTGGTCTTACAAGGAATCCAGCAATGTCAATTATATTATCCTAACTTTAGTTTGAGGTATTATTTATTAAAATTTAGTGGTTATCCCACACATCTCCTTGGGACGGTTGGTGGGGGGTGGGGGGGAGGGAGGGACCGACCGACCATCTGTTACCCTGTGAAGAATTATTATTTTTTTTTATTAACTGAAGATATTTGTTTTAGCTCATAAAATTCATACAAATTACCCGGTCAGAATATAATTTACATTGCTGAAATTCTTATAATTTGGTGATCATTTTGAATATAAACATCATATATTTTGCATTAAACATACAATTTTTAGATAAAAATTTTTCTCTAGGTAACTATGTTATCTTTTGTGCAAAATATATGACATTTATATTCAAAATATTCCTGGTCTTACAAGGAATCCAGCAATGTCAATTATATTATCCTAACTTTAATCTGAGGTATTATTTAATACTAAATGTTAAAAACTCTGGAAGGGAGGATTGGTGGGGGGTGGGGGGGAGGGTTGGGACTGACCGCGCGGTTGGAAGAGGGGGGGAGGCAAGGTGGGGTACTTTGATTGACAGATAGTGTCGTGAAGATTATTTTTTTATTATTAACTGAAGATATTTGTTTTAGCTCATAAAATTCATACAAATTACCCGGTCAGAATATAATTTACATTGCTGGAATTCTTATAATTTGGTGATCATTTTGAATATAAACATCATATATTTTGCATTAAACATACAAATTTTAGATAAAATTTTTCTCTAGGTAACTATGTTATCTTTTGTACAAAATATATGACATTTATATTCAAAATATTCCTGGTCTTACAAGGAATCCAGCAATGTCAATTGTATTATCCTAACTTTAGTTTGAGGTATTATTTATTAAAATTTAGTGGTTTTCCCCCAAAAATTTCTCTGAGAGGGAAGAGCCAGTGAGTGTAGTGTGAGAAGAGGGGGAGAGAGTTGAGTCCATTATTTGGATGGACATTAACTTGGCGACTGTATTTCTCTATTTCTCTTAAGTATTAATTGTGTGCATGTACCATCATAAAATTAAGATGTTATTTTTACTACAACATAGGTATGTGCCTTCAAAAAGTGGAGTTTGCAGTCGGGGCGGTTCTGTGGAATTAATCCCATATGTTCTGTTGTTCATATGGATTTCACTTAGCAGGACCCTCTAGGTTCAATTGACACATTAAGTAGGGGTAGCTATATATACTGCCTGCCTATATATATATATATATATATATATATATATATATATATATATATATATATATATATATATATATATATATATATATATATATATATATATATATATATATTTTTTTTTTTTTTTTTCATTTCTGTATGGACAATTGTGTATGTAATAACATTAAAAAAATAAAATAAAAATAAATATACCTACTCAAAATTACGAGTTGAAAATTAACAACGCAACTCAAAGATTGCCCTATTAGAGGGAGAGGTTAGGTGATGTAGCGATGGTGGTTGGCGATCTACCAAGTCTACACACACACACACACACACGTCATTACATTGGGCCTTAAGCATACTTGACTCAAGTGTTTTTGCCCTGCATGGGAGAAGGCATGTGTACACACGTGTTTTTTCATGCTTCGTTTCACCGGCATCTGACAAAAATATTCACAGGCACATCCAGCCCCTATCATAGATGCACCTCAACTGACGCGCGGGAAAATCATGCTCATCATATGAAGGATTCTAGAACGCTTGGTATATTTTTTCGTGCAGTGGTTTGGAAGTACAGATACAGGTGTGGGGTGAGAATCTCCCATGCATGAATTTTCCTGTGTGTTCTCTGTCCCATTGAACTTCAGTAATTTCTAAACCGCTTGGATCCGACCGTGTGGGGGAAAAAAATTAATAAATAAAAAAAATATGGTGTGTGAAGCAGGCCTTATGTTGGAATATGAATGCTGTGGCTAGCCCACACAGTTTGAAATATTACTGTAGGGTATCATCATTTTTTATTTGCAAATAAGTGGGGCATGCTTTGCAAATATCGAATAGGGGTGTTACTGTAAAGTATCAATTGCGGATAAGTGGGGTTGCGAATAGCGAGGTATTCCTGTACAGTATTTGTTAAGTGAAATTTGGTAATATATTTAGAACTAAGGAATGTCTTTTATATGCAAAAGATTACCAGCAGTGAACTGTATACCAAAATGCTCATGCCTGAAATGGGTGAGTTTATAGTCCATGATACTAAGTGTCCACATGGTGTGAACAGTTTAACAAAGAATATACCTACACTATGGGCAATTCCATAAATGTCAAAGCCAAACTTACCTGCATCTAATGCAATTTCTTCTTGAAGCTGCTGTAATCTATCAGGATTAGCTATAGATACGTTTGATGTTTCAATTTCCTGGTATTCCGATAGCAACTCGTTGATATTGATTTCCTTGTACTGGTAAATAAAAAGTTTGTTAATATCTCTACAGTATTTATATACACAAAAATAGTTTAAAGTTTAGTAATAAAAAATCAAAGAACGGACTTTATACTTTGTCAACTTTCTTAAAATATTATAAATTGGGAAACACACGAGAATACACTGCAGTGTCTCATGACTTGGAAGTTTAAATTTTTCCATGATATGAAGGTATGTTCCATGGTGTAGGCAGGTATGAACCATGAATAAGGAATATAATGTGATCAGAAATATGAACAGTTACACTGCAGATCTAATAGTGGTACTCATATTGTCCAGTAAGGATCTACCCTATAAAATAACATAATTCATATATATATATATATATATATATATATATATATATTATATATATATATATATATATATATATATATATATATATATATATATATATATATATATATATATATATATATATATATATATATATATATATACATATACATATATATATATTTATTTCATGTAAATCCACAATGAAAACGTGGATAAGATAAATCTTGATAAAATCACACGGGAAAACGGAAACAACGGAGTACCTTAGCTTTCGTCTTTATTCAAGACATCTTCAGGGGCAACTGGATTACATGGACAGAGAGAGGCTTAAATATACAGGGTGACCTTAAAAACATGAGGTCAGGTCATAATGATGTCATCCACTAATCCCCACACCAAAACATACGTAGAGGAGCTTAAGAGAAGGGGGGTGACGTGACTAGTCAGGTCAGGTCAAAAATAAGGGACCCACAAAATAACTATCATACATCTAGATCAAAGGTTTTCAAAGCATTTTTAACCTTGGGCCACTGGCAAATAAATTTATGTAACATATTATCAGTTTTGAACTGACCATCACTAAGGTTTATTGATCTTAATTCCTTAATCAAACTAGCTTCAACCAGAAGTCTTTCTGTGACACAAGATGATTTAAATACTTCTAAGCTTTTTTCCCAAGCAATGGGGTGATTATTATTCCTAACATGAACGAACAAGGCACTGCTTTCAGATGCTGTTCTGATATTATACTTATGTTGTTTGATTCTGAGCTGCAGTGTTTTTCCTGTTTGTCCTACATAATTACAATTACATTTGCTACATGGAATACAATAAACACTTCCATTTACATTCAAACTTGGGCTATTCCTTATTAACATATTGGTAATGGTAGAGTCATACTTGAAAACAACATTAATATTTAGAAGCTTGAGGGACCGAACTAACGGGACAAATTCATTACGATAGGGCAGAGTCAGAATATTCTTAAGTGTAGGAACTTGTCTGGTTTGAGAGGAATGAAAGGATTTTTTAGCCCTTTTAAAACAACTATCAACAAACACAGAAGGGTACCCGAGTTTCTGTGCAATGGAACGAATGTGTTTCAATTCATCGTCAATAAATTCAGTCACAAATACGCAGACATCTTAAGAACATAGCAGAAAAAACTGACATTTTGGTAGACTCCAGGTGATTCGATAAAAAGTGAATGAAACTGTCTACCTGTGTGGGCTTTCTATATATATATATATATATATATATATATATATATATATATATATATATATATATATATATATATATATATATATATATATATATATACAGGTTGTACCTCTCTAGTCCGGCATTCTGTGGTCCGGAAACTCCCGTGGTCCGGAACGATTTTAGTTTGTCCAATAGGTAGATAGGCAGCTTTTTTCTTTTTTTTTTTTTTTTTATTTATCTGAATTATTATTATTATTACAGGAGTATTAAATTTTTGCCCCTCAGGCCCCAATGTGGGTCAGTGACCTATGCCCGGGTGGGCTAATCCCCTTAAAAAAAAAAAGCCGCGGGAAATTAAGGTTTGTTTACATCCGGCAGTTCGGCTGTTCTCTCTCTCTCTCTCTGCTTGTCTATACAGAGTACAACATTTAACCCTTCAATATATATGAGCAGTAAATAAGTGTTGCTTTCATATTCTTATGTAGAGTAATGACGATATATTTTCACATGTGCGCACTTACATACGAGCAGTCTCACTTTTTTTTTACCATTAATGGTTAGCTACTTATATTGTTCCATTTATTAACATTAAATAACATTACAGGTACTTCAAGCAACCATATTCATTTTTTACATTAATTTTACTACAGCTAAACTCAGGGTCTTATTTTCTTCAGTTTTATATGTAGAACCAATCAGTCACTGGTTTCGTAAGCTTTAACATAAACAATGCCGGCAGCGGTCTCGTCTCCTCAAATATTCCACGTATTATTAATAAATTGTATTGTTAATTTTGCACACACGTACATTAATTCAATAAAAACAAATTCAGAAACATTAATTAAAATATATATGAACAGTAAATAAGTGTTGCTTTCATATTCTTATGTAAAGTAATGACGATATGTTTTCACGTGTGCGCATGCGCACTTACATATGCGATCTCTCTTTTCTTTACCATTATCGTTAGCTACTTCTATTGTTCCATTTATTAACATTAAATAACATTACTTAAAACAACCATATTAATTTTACTACAGCTACAACCAAGGTCTTATTTTCTTCAGTTTTATATGTAGAACCAGTCAGTCACTGGCTTTGTAATCAACAAAAACAATGCTGTGTCATTTCCTCATGTGTTCTAATATTCTACGTAATATTAATGAATTGTATTGCTCATTTTGCACATATAAACATTAATTCAATAAAAAAGACATTCAGTAATAAACAATAATGAATCTTTTGTACATAAGAGAAATGACGCTGTTTACACGATTATGCACGTCGTCTGCACGTTAGCGGGCCGTTCAAACCCGTCGAAATTCAAGTTTCCGCAGTCAAAATTTTTATTTATTTATTTTTTTGTGTTCCAATAAAATACGTTAAGAATTACAAACTCGCGAAATTTGAGAAGCTACTATACGACATTTAACCCTTCAATATGTCTTCAAAGAGACCATGATGCAGAGAAAGTGGTGCTAGTGCTTCCAGGCATAAGCACAAGTCACTATCTATCCAGGAAAAGGGTGAATTTCTATGGTCCGGCACCGGTCAGGTCCCGAGGTTGCCGGACTAGAGAGGTACAACCTGTATATATATTTGTCAGTTGCCCAAGGTTAAAAATGCTTTGAAAACCTTTGATCTAGATGTATGATAGTTATTTTGTGGGTCCCTTATTTTTGACCTGACCTGACTAGTCACGTCACCCCCCTTCTCTTAAGCTCCTCTACGTGTGTGTTGGTGTGGGGATTAGTGGATGACATCATTATGACCAGACCTCATGTCTTGAATAAAGACGAAAGCTAAGGTGCTCCGTTGTTTCCTTTTTCCCGTGTGATTTTATCAAGATTTATCTTATCCACGTTTTCATTGTGGATCTACATGATATATATATATATATATATATATATATATATATATATATATATATATATATATATATATATATATATATATATGTATGTATGTATATATAAAATCTTGGGAGTAGAACTTTCTGAGATGTCTTGAATAAGGCAGAAGCTAAAGGTGCTCCGTTGTTTCCATTTTCCGTGTGATTTTATCAAAGATATATGCTTGCATGTATATATATATATATATATATATATATATATATATATATATATATATATATATATATATATATATATATATATATATATATATATATATATATATATATATATATATATATATATATATATATATATATATATATATATATTATATATATATATTACAGTATTACCCCGCCAAACGCGGTTTCACTTAACGCGTTTTATCATATACGCGGTGCCTCGCCAGATCTGAACTTTCACTTAATACGGATTTTTTCCACATATACGCGGTGAGTGTCCGGCTCGAGACGCTATTTTTAGATATGCCCCACCCGCCACCCTGCCTGACTGCCTGTTTTAGCTCATAAAATTCATACAAATTACCCGGCCAGAATATAATTTACATTGCTGGAATTCTTATAATTTGGTGATCATTTTGAATATAAACATCATATATTTTGCATTAGACATCCAAATTTTAGATAAAATTTTTTCTCTGAGTAACTATGTTATCTTTTGTGCAAAATATATGACATTTATATTCAAAATATTCCTGGTCTTACAAGGAATCCAGCAATGTCAATTATATTATCCTAACTTTAGTTTGAGGTATTATTTATTACAAAAAAGTTAAGTATTCTGGTTTTCCCACACATCTCCTTGGGACGGTTGGTGGGGGGTGGAGGGGAGGGAGGGACCGATCAACCATCTGTTACCCTGTGAAGAATATTTTTTTTTTTTTATTAACTGAATATATTTGTTTTAGCTCATAAAATTCATACAAATTACCCGGTCAGAATATAATTTACATTGCTGGAATTCTTATAATTTGATGATCATTTTTAATATAAACATCATATATTTTGCATTAGACATACAAATTTTAGATAAAATGTTTTCTGAGTAAATATGTTATCTTTTGTGCAAAATATATGACATTTATATTCAAAATATTCCTGGTCTTACAAGGAATCCAGCAATGTCAATTATATTATCCTAACTTTAATCTGAGGTATTATTTAATACAAAATGTTAAAATTTATTTTTTTCACCCCACTCTCTTCTCTTGGTGGGGGTGGGGGGGAGGGTTGGGACTGACCGCGCGGTTGGAAGAGGGGGGAGGCAAGGTGGGGTACTTTGATTGACAGATAGTGTCGTGAAGATTATTTTTTTTTTATTAACTGAAGATATTTGTTTTAGCTCATAAAATTCATACAAATTACCCGGCCAGAATATAATTTACATTGCTGGAATTCTTATAATTTGGTGATCATTTTGAATATAAACATCATATATTTTGCATTAGACATACAAATTTTAGATAAAATTTTTTCTCTGAGTAACTATGTTATCTTTTGTGCAAAATATATGACATTTATATTCAAAATATTCCTGGTCTTACAAGGAATCCAGCAATGTCAATTGTATTATCCT